GTTTACGGGTGAAAACGTGCTGAGCTTTCGTCCATCATTCGATGGACATCGTCAGAGCTGCGTTTCATTTTTGTAAAAGTCAAAATTTAACACTAGGCCAAGAAGACTATCCGGCTTTTCCTTACCTTTATATAGACCAAGCTAAGCCAAAAGAAATTAAAAATTAAAAACCTAGATAGATATAGAGTGGTTTGGTTAATTATCTTTCATACTTGTCCGATCCTGGGGTAGGCTCGTATAATTGTAACCAAGGTCCGTGCAGGTTGGCTTATGCGCATTCTATGACTTTAGCTGTCGCCTTGATGGAAGGATATAAACAGCCCGGAGCCTTTGTATGATTTTGGCCGAATATGAGTTGCATCGCATCGAGTGCTGTAGCGGTGGCTACTACTTGGCAATTGAAGCAACTCGGGCGAACTCACGAAATGGAATTGAAGTAATCATATTTCTGTTAACATGGCGGGCTTGGCCCTTGGTTTCCTCGAAAGGGAGAGGGAGGGAAGAGGGCTTTGGAATTGCGATTGCCTATTTGGGCCCGCTGGCCATCGACTTACGCCCCATGACCCCCAAACCCGGGACCGCCGAGTGTCCTTGTCTGACATCTGACAGACTGTGGCGAGTAGTGTGTTGGTTAAGAAGTATTTGTTGGGCTGATAAATCACATGCGAATATCAAGCAATCCGTCTTAGGCCTCTTGTGAAGCCAACAAGTGAAGCACTTCACTCAAAGGTGATAGGGATGCTTTTGGGGTTATGCGTAAAGGAGCCTGAGACTAAAGGGAACTGGCCTTAGAGAGAGGCCAGTCTTACATAAAGTCCAAGAAGAGGCAGCTTTTTGTTCGGTCTGTCTCGTCTCATCGTATGAAGATGGTAAAGACTCCTTTTCGCGAGTGTAATCATGTCAATTTATGACATCGGACCATTGACTAGGCACGAAACGATCGTTTTGCCTTCATCGTATTATTCACTATCAAAGGCCTCAGTCGTGGTGGCGAGCTACAAACCTTTAAACAATACTAGCTTATTTGAAGACGTGCAGACCAAGATGATGAAGAATCTGGTGTGGTTACAGTCTCCTTTCGATTTATAGAACTGTGTTGACCTGGTTTTCGCAAATTGGTCATGTTGTCAGACGACTTCGGACTAGGTGCGTTCTAGTAAATCGCCCTGACAACAAGGCCAATTCGCAACAATAAGGCTAAACCAATTCAATATTAATTTCTGTTCTAT